TGTCCGAGCCCTCTGGGGCGTGGCCCGTGTGGCCAGCGCCAGGGATCTCTGGGAGGGACGGTGACAGGATTGAGCGCCCATTCCCCTCAGCCCTTCCCTTTGTGATCTGAGTCTCAAGTCCCCAGCCCACTCCAGGTGCTCGTGTGCCCAGCTGTCCCCAGCCCACTCCAGGTGCTCATGTGCCCAGCTGTCCCAGCCCACTCCAGGTGCTCATGTGCCCAGCTGTCCCAGCCCACTCCAGGTGCTCGTGTGCCCAGCTGTCCCCAGCCCACTCCAGGGGCTCGTGTGCCCAGCTGTTACCCATATGGTGGAGAGCAAGAGCCTGGGACGCAGGAGACCTAGGTCCCCTCCGTTCCCCGCCCACAGAATGGGGATATTAAGAGAGATGGTCTCTAAGCTCCTTTCCATCCCGGAGGTAGCTGGGGTCCTAGAAACTGGGGGCCCAGAACCTGGCACACAAAGAAGAGGGCGTCAGCCCCGGGAAGCCTCTAGCTGGCGTCCCTCTGGGAAATGTTGTAACCCCTCTGGCCCTAGGTTGCCCCAATGGCCCCAGTCACCCCTGTTCTAAGGAAGTATGAGGGTACTCGGGTACTGCCCTCCCCCAACCCCCTCCCCAGAGCTGGCACTCAGCCTCCTTTCCAGTCTCTGTTGTCTTAGCTCTAGGCTTGGGCAGGGCGGGGATGCCATGCGAGCTTGCTTCCAGCCAGCCAGTCCTTGGACAGCGGCTAGCCGTTTCCTGCCCCGCGTGGCCCTCGCACCCTCTGATCTTGCCACCCAGGGAAGAGTATCAAGTAGCCCGAACCCTCCCTGGGCAGGAGGCAGGCTGTTGGTGGAGAGAGGGCGGGTGAAGCAGGTACTGCCCAGCACCTCGGGGGACGGAGACCGTGCCTCGCCACCCACCTAGGCCTTCTCATGCCAGCTGGGTATTGCCAGCCTCTCTGGCAGGGGACCCAGGTACCTCCTGGCACCAGTGGGCGGGATTTTCCACTCTGTCACCCAGCTGGGGGCAGTTCCCGGGGGTGTGGGCTCTGGTCTGCCTGGGGGTGCCTGTCTGGGCAACGCTGCTTACCGGATCCGTCTTCACTTCCCACTCCTAGGGCAGGGGGGGAAAGCGGACGGGACATACCGATGGGGTGATGGGGAAGGCGCTCTGCCCTTCAGCTCAGCCTCACCCAGCTCCCAGTTTGCCCACCCAGGTTGGAGTCAGAGCTGCCCAATGGTCCCTGGGCCTCCTGGCTCCAGACTAGGATGCTTCAAAGAGCCTTGTTTTCAGCACCTTCTGAGGGGTGAGGCCCCCAGATGTGAATCTGGAATCCATTTGGCTGGCACTGGGGAGGGGGCTGCCATCTGCTGCCCCATTCCCCCATCTCAGTCCCGGGAGGGGGCGGGGCAGAAAAGGGAGGAGATGTAGCCCTGTCTTTCAGACCCCCAAAGAGGGCATTTGACCCGGGTGGGCGGGGGGCTCCTCTTGTCCTGCCAGGGAACTGGGCAGGGCAGCCTGAGCCCTCAGATGACCCCACTCATCAGCTGAAGGTGTGGCGGTGAACCGGACCATCGCAGTGGGGAAGGGCTGCGAGCGGGTGGCGAGGGACAGGCCGGGCTGAAGACAGAGCTGTCCCGGGCATTTCCCCACATTGCTCCAATCCCCCAGAAGGGGGCTGGGGATGAGATCCAGATGTGGTCATGTCCACTAGCATTCCAGCCCCTAAGCCCTTGGCAGGTCCTGACAGCCGTTTCCGGAATGGGAGCTGCCAGACTTGGGGGTGGGAAGAGGGACCAGGTTAGGCAATGGGGGGGGGGGGGTCCTGCCCCAAGGGTGGGTGAGTCACCATGTTGACACCTGAAATGTATATGCGAGAAAGTACAATGCACTGCAGGGGAAGGGGCAACCCAGCGAGTGAATCAAATTCCGTTTCCTGAAGGGTCCCTCTGCCCCCGAGCCCACACTTAACCCTTCAGAGGCTCCAGTAGAGGGGCAGAGGGTAAACACAGCTCTCAGGGGGACCCTCCCCCTTCAGGGTGGCTGGAAAAGTGGGGTGCGATCTGGGAGGGGTCTATGATTGCCCCCCAAGAGACAGAGCCCACCCCTCCCCCAGCCACCACCTTTCTTTGCTTTAACCGCCCGCTGACTAAGTCCCCCCACCAGCCCGTCTGGACTTGCCCGGGGAGCTGTGCCGGTGCCTGCCTGTTGCCAGCAGCTGAGACTCCCTCCCTGCCCTGCGCCTGGCGCCACTTGCCTGTCTCCTGGCCCAGGGCAATTGCCACCGGAACCACCATGTTCTGTACCCCCATCCTCCTCCCACCCCCCAGCCCAATACAAGGAAGCGTCACACACACACCTGGCTCAGCTCAACTGAACAGCCCCTCGGCCTGAGCCAGAGATTGTGGAGGAAGGTTGTGTGGGAGCCAATGTCAGACTGCAGGCTCCCCACAAGGGGGACCTACCCCACCCCCATCTGACTGGTGACCGACTGAAGGCAGAGGGCTGTGCTGCCGCCCACCAGAATGAGGGCTCTCCTGGGAATGGGTGCTGGGGCCTTGACGCCCTCATCAGACCAGGCCAAGGCTGTCTCTCTCCCATCACACTTGGGGTTCCCTAAGGGAGTGCTGCACTGCCTGCCGGGACTG